TGTTCATTCAAAATATTCTTTTTTTTTTTGTTTCTGTTTCTTATACATAAGGCTGACGACCTCGATATTTAGTTCTTGTTCATCAGATGTTGTGTCAGATAAAACCGAACTTAGAGGTTTGGAACCGGGACCGGTTTTGTAGCTTAAAACTAGGGCCAGGCCTAGATATCGCGCGTTGGTTTCATTCATCCAACAGGCAAATGTAGGACGTGCGCGAAAAGGTTATTTGCCTCTCGAGTACAATAATTAAAGGCGAAATTTTATGTTTTCGGATATTCCCTATTTATTTATTTTTTGTATTTTAGTAGACCCGCGGTACTCTTCCTTCTGGCGTAGATTGTAACTCGAAGATGGTGGAGAGAAATCTTCACGCTGTAATGAAATCAATTTCTGTGTTTATGCCGGACGACCGTCACGATTCTATGGAGTGCAGATGGCCGGAAATCGGCAGGACACACATCACTGATGTCATTTATTTCCACCCCTCCGCTCACAGTTCACCTCCCCCACGCCACTTTTCGGCGCGGAAACACCTGCCGATCGGACCGAAATCATTGTTCTCTAAATGCGGGGATTGTTTTGGGTAAGGGAGGGAAATATGTATAAAAAAACAAGTAGGAAATTTTTTTTTGTAAAAGGGAAAATAGCCATTTTGTTTTTTTAAATCGGAAAAACGTCGGAAGTTTTTTTTATTAAGCAAAATAGGAATTTTTAACGAAGAAAGGTGTAGGAAGAATTACGGATTTTAACGTAAAAAGAATATTTCTACGTTTCTTACGTGAAGATTAGTTTGCTTTAAGATAAAATTCGATGCTAGAAGAAATAAGTAAACGAATTTATCGACCAGTTAACAAAAATATTTGTCACCGGAAATGGGAGAAAGCGGGAACTGGTGGAAGCACTTCCGGTTGACGAAACCGAAGCTGGATTCCCACAGAAACTTCGCACCGTAAAACTCGTTAATGAAATTCTTCGATTAGCAAACGGGACGTTCGGGGAAAAAAAGTGGAAAGAACGCTTTTTTTTCCTACTTCCAATCTCGTTCTTGTACGACGAAGAGCGTCGAGGGAACGACACGGGCGAGCGTCCAACTCGTTTCTCTCCCTCTTTGAAGAGATTTACTACGTGTAAGAATGGCGATTACGTGGCAGGAATAATGTTCGGTTCCTGTTAGAGTTGACCAGAATCGCCGACCGGAAACGGATTTACGGTTACCTAATGCAACCGCCGTTCGCTTTAATTAATACTTAATGGATTCGAAAAAGAAATTTAAAAACGAAAGACGAAATTCCGCTCTTTTGTACGTCGAATGATGGTAAACGATGCGAATTTCCTTCGTTTAATTCCTAGCAGGGAAGAATTTACCTATTTAAAGTAAGAGCGCGGCAAAGTAGTAAAATTGCAAAATCATTTAAAAACAAAGAAAATGAAAATCATTCTCCGCATTTATAGCAGATTTTATTCGAGTCACCTTTCACGAAAAGGGAGCAAGTCGCCCGGAGAAAGATGCGAGAGATCCTCATTCGTTTCACATTTCTATAATATATGACAAAGAAATAAATCTCACACGACGAATTAACATTTAAAGAATGCGATTTTTTATGTCCTGTTCTATCTTCTCGGATGTAAACAGGAAAAGATGCCAAACCTTAAACGAAGGAAGGCGTGTCAAAATTTTATTTTATATCTACATAACTTTACAATAAAGAAATAAAATCAAATTTAAAGTTTTAAAGGCAGAATCGACGATACCGTAAGATGTTTTCTTGACCATAAACCAGTTATTACATTAGTTAAAATCGAACGGAAAAAACAATATTTGTTCCTACTTTCTACCAACGGAAACATATTTTTAAGTAGACAAAATGTTTATATTTTCAGTCATAAATATATCAAAAATGGGATCGAAGGAAATAATTTTATTCGTGTAAAATATTATTCAGAATATTTCACATACACGGGATTTTCTACGTTGTGTTAGGTACGAATTATCAAATTATAAATTTATTAGCCTTTTTTCCTACCGTTTCAGTTCGATAAATGAACTAATTTATGTAATTTAAAATTATTCAAAAGATAAAATATGTTGTAACAAAGAGAGACGTTTCTTCTCTTTGGTTTTCTTTATCCAAAGACCTTCGCTTTCCCGCTCTTTTCGAAAAATTTAATATTTTTTGTTGTGGCCCGAAGGCAACTGACCCGCATATCCTGCCTAAACTAATTTTATTCGTCGACGAAATCCATCGATAAAAACAGAAACATTTATAATTTAATTCGAGAAAAAAATCCGAACAAAAAGTTTTTTAAATGATGTCTTAAGTTTCGGATAATTGCACGCAACGAAGTAACATTTAATCGAATCGAATTTCTTTTTTACACCAAAGACGATGGTAATATCGCGGTAAAAAATGTAATACGTTAAATGCGATAAATAGAGTTTCCGCGTTGTAACGTCGTTTACTACATAAACGCGTAGGGACAGACGGACGGACGAACGGAAGCGAAATTAATTATACGGCAGACTATTCGACTAGTCTCGTGTCTGCCATGTTCTAAAGGGAGGTTATTTGGCGTATGTTTCGTCATCGGGATATAAGCATTGGCGTCGAGCCCTTCGACCTCCGACCCGGAAGGCAAAGGGCTTCGCCGCGCGTCATCGGCGTGCGGCGCGGAGCCGGGGTCGCCGGAGCGTGACGGAATAGACGCGAGGCGGCGGGCCCGAGACAAAGGAGGGGGCCCGGCCGCGGGTATTGTGCCCCGACCCACCGGATGGAAGGGCCGTTAAAGCGCCGGGGGAAACACTTCCGAACGACTTCCGGCGCGCTCCGAGGGTGGTGGGCACGGCACCGGAAGCGGCGGACAATGGAGCGGGGGGAGGGCCGCTGCCCGTAATTATTCGCGCTCTTTTGTCGGACGTCGGGGAAGACGCCCCGATTTATCGACCCACCTTAAATCATCCGCCGGCCCGGCTCTCTTTTGGCGCTTTACGGCGACAGATGGCCGGCTAAATTGCCTCCCATTACGGAAAGGGATAGCCCGACGCCCAAATTGCCCACTTACCCTCGCACTCAGGACCACCCCTCGTCCGTTCGATTCCACGCTTTTCTCTCTCGTCCTTCGGTTTGCACGCGGCCGCGGAACGGAGGCCCGCGTAAATTCTTATATTTTTCCTACGTCCGAAGACAATCCACCAACTTTTCCATTTAATAAGCTCACGAATCCAATCTCCGAAATTCCACCTTAATTATTCTTTTCGAGTTTTAAAAAAACAAACATTCGAGAAACAATTATGGCCTAAGAGTTTTCGAACGCCAACTAAGACGGCATTCGTAAACTTACCGGTGCACTCGGTACACGATAGAACAGCAACAGCCAATTTAAGAACGCTCCAACGTAATTACAAACCAATTATATCTTAATTTAATCGAAGTAACAAAAAGAAAATTCGATAAAATTTCATCCAAATAATTGAAATGACGAAACATATAAATAAAATTATCGAAATAAATATTCTAATTATATAAAGCTGTTCAGAAACGGTCCAATTATTCATAATACTGTAAATGAGGAAAGTGATGTGATTTTTACGTGAAAAGCTACAAAGTCTTTCCTTATAAAGAATAGGCCTACATTTCTGTTTACTACGAAGCTGAAGAAATCCATTTATTAACGATAACCTTTCGTAAAGGGTCAATACTTTTTTACTATTTTGTAATAAAAAAGAATTTTTCTGAATGACCAGTTTTATGTCATTCGTACTTCGGCATCGTTTTTATCTCCGGCCATTTGAATAAACAAGATAATCGGTCCGTTGCTATAATGTTAAAATACGAGCTTCGTCAATATTAATAAGACAGATAAATATTTGTGTTAAGCGAAAACAGGATAATTATTTTTATGTATAATTTCTAAATTTAAACTTACGAGTTAAATTTTTTTTTTTTAAATTCTCAAAAACAAAAACGCCAAAAAGTGGCCTAGTAAAATTTTATTAAGGAAACTCGTCGACCGAACAGATTTTTTGAAGTAATCGCCTAACATTCTACGCTTCCTTCATTTCCGTTTCCGGTTTCGCCACGGGCTACCAAAATTGGCACGGAGCGCGGAAGACTCCGGCACCGAATTTGGTCGCAATATCGATGGGAACCGAAGAAGAACGGTAAGAAAAAAACACGAGGGAAGTCTAACGTTTATTAAAACCGACTCGAAACTTTAACGCCATTCAAAACGCATTCCTCCGCTATTGCGTCGAGAGAATTCGCCGCGTTCGCGCTATTCCTTCCGCACCGAAAAGGATCGTCTCCACAAAGAAACCGTGTGTCTCTCTGACGGGATCACTCCACTTCAAAGTCCTCCCCCGAACCTTTCACGTCTACCGCTCGGACGCACGCTTCGTCTCACACGTTTCTTTTACCGCCGTTCTTTTCTTTGCCGTTTTTTCTGCCTTCCTATAAACTTACGATAGCTAAATGTGTACTTACGCATCCGCCCGGTATTATATATTAAAAATCGGACGTAAAAAATAAAACGCACAAAAAATCGCGACACCAGAGGGGCTTCTTAACCCCGACGTCAAAACTTTTTGTTTAATGAAAAGAAAGGCCGACCATTTTCAATATTTTGATGCGCAACTTTAAAATAGTTCAGCGAACGTATCTGAAATGAATTGTTAAAGTCTTGTAATGTTATAGCGACGCGTTAATCCGTTTAGGCGCGAATTAAACAGCAAAAAATCAAACAGTCGTTCGTTAAAATAAAATAAAAAAAATAACGCCTATTGATCGGGTGTTCCGATTTGGTCGATTCGCTTCCTCGTCTCCTCGGAGGCGGAAAAAACTCGACACCCACGAGCAATAACGAGATGTTTATCCACTAATTATTGACATTCCGCTCTACGCCACGTTCCTATTTTTTAAGGCCGGAAGAACCCATCTTCGGGGGCTCTTTCGGGGCCTCAAACGGCATCGGGGTTGGCAAAAAAAAAACTCTTAAAACACCGATTTTATGTACAATGCAATATTTTATTTTCCTTTTTTTCCGAAAACCAGGAAAGAATTTTTATCTGATTCATTAATAAATCCCATCCCTCAGTTGTTTAAGTTATTTGTAGCTAGTACATTTTTTTTGGTCGTTTCTTCGTTTTAAAACATAAAACGTGATAAATGCCAACAGAAAAAAATAAAACAAAAGGGTCGCGTAAACGAACGATGGTGTCGACTTACTTATGTATGTATACACACATAATTACAAACTTTTTTGTACATACATATACGCGCGAAACTTTACGTCGATGTTCGAGTTCTCTTTCTACATCTCTCCCGGTACATCACAATATCTGGAACATCTTTTTCAACTCGACCATTAATTGCCAGTCCGGCTTTTGCAGATCGTCTCGAAAGTAGTTTTTACAAGCATCTATGGACTGACGCGTGATCTGAAACGAGCACACACACAGGAGAGGGTAAATAGACGACGACGATCGCCGCGGTAATTAAAATTTTAAAAGAAACTCACCTTGCTGACCAGAATGTCGGTCTCGTCGAAATGTCTCCCGTACATTTTGGGAGCCTCTCCCGAATGCGGTTCGATCTTGATGCAGATTTCCTGACCTTTTCGAGCGGAGTCTATCGATTTATGGTTGAGCTCCAGAGTGGTCACCGTCCCTATATCCAGAAACTAGCGGGTACAAAAAAGAAAAAGAAAAAAAAAAATTGAGATCAGATAACTCGAACACGGAGTGTGGGAGCGTTTGGTCTGGTCTAGTAGCGACACTAATCGAGAAATTGTAGGAGAGTACGCGAGACGTACGACTTCCCGTATGTCGCGGGAGTTTACAAGTGATAATAAATTTGATTTAAGGGCGAATCTCGGATTTCGGAAGAGTCGTTTACCTCTCGACTGGGTACGCAAATAGGGGTTCCTTCTCTGACGACGCCCGCTTCAACGGACACTCCGATGACTATCGGATCTCTGCTGTTAAAGATGTATTGGGGCAAAATTCGAAGCTTGCAAGGGAAGACGGCGATGTGCTTATACTCGTCCCTCTTTTTCTGATGCAGCTCATCTTGATAGGCAGTGAAACGGTCGAACAGATGATAGATGATGTTGGCTTGGAAGATTCGGACTCCCAGATTCTCAGCTAACTCTTCGGCATCGCGCTCTACCTTAACATCGAAAGCTAGAATAACTGCGTACCTGTAAGATGCCAATATACGGTGTTTATATACTTGAAAACGACTTTAACTTTTATCGAATCATAAAACTTAACTTACTGTGTCTCGTGTTCTAACATAATGGAAGCTTTCATAACGTCTTTCTTGACTACTGGTCCGATTCTCACACCAGAATACTATTTAAAAAATGAAGAATACGTCAAGATATGGATAGATTAAATACAGTACCATAATCAACTGGCTCGTTTCGCGCAAGTCGCAACATGGATGTCATTAACAACGCGCAAAAATTCTATTTTTCTTTCTTTTGATATTCGTCGAGAACGAAGGAAAGGGGAAATCGCTAATCCAAAATGGTAATGCGACGGTTATAAGATCAGGGGGAGAAAAAGGGCGCGTCGCTTCCGGCGCGCGACCGACAGACGGTCACCGGACAGAAAAGAAAAGGGAGAGACGAAACGGTGGGGAGAAAAGGGTCTAAAGTTAGAGCCGCCGGTTAATAGATGCGTCCTTCGTTTCCATTCGGTCAAGCATGGATCCTCCCCCGCTGCGAAACCGTTCACGCTTCCCACCCACCCTTTCCGGAAACAATCTTCCGGAATTCTGCCAGTCATCCGGAAAGAGGCGCTTTTGTGCCAATGACAAGGCAAAAAAGATTAAAGAGTCTCTTGGTCTCCGAAAGCCTACATCTGTTGCTCCTTTGAAGGACATTTAAAAATCTTATTTAAAAGAGAAAAAAAATTAAACGATTTAGAAAAATGACGCTTTGAATAGATTACAGAGAAGAATACCTATTTCACAAGCTTCATTTTATATATGAGAATTCGTTAATAGAAGAATCTACATATTCTTGATCTGAGAAACGGGATGCATCGGTCCATATCAACGTCAGCAGGAAGCATTGAAGCGTGTTTATTGCCAGATATATATCCGAAACGTATACGGGAAGTTGAATATCCGGAAGTTATCAATATATACGAAATGATATCCGAAGAATCGGATAGCATATTCTGGATCTAATAACAGGAAATTTGCTACTAATCACCGTTTCCCGTTAATGAAACGTCCAAAGAGAGGCAACACCCATCGACCGAATTTCAAAACTATAGTAACAGCGGATATCAAATCTAAATCTTTCGATAACTAATGGCGATTATATAATGCAAAAAATTTCCGATTTTTCTATTTTCAGAGGAAAATAAACAAACAAATAAACGAAAAGCGCATTCTTTATTTGTAAGAATATGATTTATATTAGATTTATCTACCTTCTTAGTAGTCAAATATATAAAGAATGTGAGCCCATTCATATAAACTGTTGGATTTATTATATATTATAAATATTGTATCTTCAATTATAAAAACATTATATAAATCAATCAGTGGCGCACTCAGAATTTAATCTGTGGAAACGGAAAAACATTTTTAATGAGAAATTCAATAATATTCCCACCTTATGTGGCCATTAATTCATAAATAGCACAGAAATAGAAGACACGACACAATATAAATATATATAAAAGGTAAATTTTAATTAGGAAGAATTTTGGAAAATTTTCTGTTCTTTTTCCTTTTCAGGGTGCCAGGGCCCCCTGGCCCCCTCTGGGTGCGCCACCGAAATCAATGTACCAGAAAAATAGCAAATATTTTCTAAACCTAAGTTGATTAATATAATTTAATACAGTACTATATTTTGTTATAAAAGAACAAAACATCGATTTTAAATTATTAGTTTTCTATAAGAAATACTGTACTCTCATAATTACATCTAATCCTCATTAACGATTAAAAATTCATAATTTTTTTGCAAAACAACATGAAATCAATGTGCATAAATACTATTTAAAATTCGAACTTTCAGCGGAAGGAGAGAGAGAAATACATGAATGACCAGACCGGATATCGTTTAATCTCATTAACTAACTAACACGTGTAAGCATGAAAACGAATGGACTTAATGCGATTAAAATATAAAATGAAAGTTATGAAAGTTAAATCTCTATATTCTGACTCAGTGAAATGTGGAACACGGTATTCTAGAGTATATCATTAAAATTCTGTCAATAAACCATTCTCAGAACTTTAACTTATTCTGAGAATATTTTCTCTGTTGTTTCGTTCAAATCTTAAAAATAATTAAATCTGGATAAACATTTTTAATGCGGCATCTTTTTTTTATTTATTAGATTCGAGATATTTGCCTAAATATAGTATCCTTTAACAGCATTCCCAAAGTTATGTGTTTATACTGTATCCACATCCGGCATTCGGTTACCTACCAAACCGTTACAAGTTTGCCTGCAAATCTTACATGACTAAAATCAGCTCGTATGATAATCCCAGTTTCAAAATATATCAATGACAAAAAAAATTCCCCTTATTCTGGTTCGTTAATAATGAATTTTAATTTACAGTTTTTATCAACTTTTTAAAACTGAATAAAATAGATTCAGATACAATTAATATTTAAATTTAATAAAATAAAATTCAATTTCAAAATGGCAATAAAATATTTAAAAATATGACTAAATTTCAGATATGATATACATTATTTGATTTCTCCTATCTTCGAATGGTGAACTTTCTCACAAAAACCACTCACCGGAATTTTTGACGTCCTTAAAAATTCCAATAATGCTTCTAAGGAACCTAGAGTGGATGCCTGAACGTAAACTCCTCTTTCTGCTAATTTGATGGAATTAATTGCATCTCGAAGAGAATTAGCAACTTCTTCCTGGAAATGAATAAATGGTAATATTTATTAATTTTATATTAATATATAACAGTTTAAAATGAAAGTTTGAAGAAATGATAGAGTTTTGCATCTATAATGCAATGTTTTGGGCATTTTTTTCATAGAGGTTTCATATAACTAAGAGGTTTCAAGTACCTAACAATTTTGTGATTAAAATTTAACTAGTTTTATCTTTTTCAACTACATATCTAAATACTATTTGGTAATAGTAAACATTTCTAATTATTAACAGTGGTTCCAAATTATCAAAATATTTTTATATTTCATAAAAACAAAAATATTTCAGCAATTCACATAAAAAGCTTTTATCTTACTTCTCTCTTTTATCTATATTATATTCAACGACAGAAAAACTAGGTTAATTTAATTATCTTGTTTTTAAAAATAAATAAAAGCCACAAGTTATTTATTTTACATAATGATTGCTAGCAAATACAGGTATTTGATGTAACAATTGCAATGATAAGATAATTATCAAGATCAATTATGGAAAAATCAAAATTTTTTTAAAAAAGTAAAATCAATTAAAAGTTAGTTGAAATTTATCAGAATATAAGATTTTAAAAATAAAATTTAACTAAATCCTATAAATTTATAATTATATATTATTATTTTCAAATCACACTTTTCACCATCTCTCTATATACAGACAGAGATGACAATGAAAAAAATTACTTCCCTTAACAAAAAGAATGGGATGCCAGAAATTTGGGTGGCCCATCATCAAATAATTTAGTCACTGCCGTGTTAATGCTCATGATCCATCTTTGTGATAAATGATTTACTCTGCCATCCTGTGACAATTAGGCATTGTCTTGTCCAGAAAATATTCAAAAAACAGGTTTAAATGCATACTTTTTTTTGGTCTTAAAGAATTTTTGATTTCAAAAATAAATTAATCTGGAATAAGTATCATGACAATGCTTTTAAATTTAATTTAAAAATTTTTAATTACTAAAACAATTCCAGAAAATATAATTAATTTAAATTTGAAGTTTAAAGTAATTCATTATTAATCAAAGTTTGATGCAAGTTTATTATATAAACATTTCTATAAAAGTAATAAAAACTTAAGATTTAATTATTATATAATATATTAATTAAAATTATTCCTAAATTTTATTTTTAAAGTTTATTGCATTTAACAAAATATATAATAATAATTATCAATATTATAACCAATATTCTTTTTCACAATAATCAATACTCTGCAAATCCAATTAAAATATTATTAATGACTTTTTCCTCAAAATAAACTAAACATAGTTATGATCTTTTTTAAACTTTTAAAATTGATATTACATAAATGATATTAAAAAAGTTATTCATCAATTTTGTTAAAAATTCCAATAAAAGTATATTCTAAATTTAATTAATAGAAAAATAAAAAATATGGAATAGTTCAACCAATTGGTTCTTCTGAAAAAATTATTTTGGCTAATTTGGTTTGATTGAACAATTCCATTAGACAGTATAGATAATCAAAAATAGTTAGAATATAAATATTTTAAGTTCAGATGAAATGAATGTAGCAAAAATAAAGAAGAAAACTAATGCAAACGAAATGAAATAACAATTTTTAAAATCTCAATCTTATTCATTTCTTGAAACATAAATATTTACATTCAGCTGTAAATGGTTCATAGTTAATAAATATGCTAATTTAACTATATATCTTAATAAAAAGATAGTTATTTTAATGATATATTGTCATTTATCAACATGAAAATTACTTTAATCTTTATTCTTCTAACATATATCTTATTGTATGCTTATTTCAAATTAAAATTGTAAAAATATAAATAGGTAACCTTTAAAAGTTCTACTTCATCTGGATGATAAGCTACAAGTAACTGAAGACCTGCAATAGCTTTCTCAAGATCTTTTCCTGCAATTTTCACTCCTTGTGCTCCTTCTACTTCTCTAAAATCATTATATGGATTCTAAAATAAAATAATAATTGTTAATCATGCAGATATAATATTCCGTACACTCACATATGTACAAAATAATCGGTTCTATCTATTCATTCAATTTTTCAGACATACACGTCTGAAAAATTTAAATAACTGATAATTTTAGATTATTAAAATATTTTAACATTATTATTTATCATTTGAGAGCCAGATTTAAAATGTAATACAGGCTAAATATAACAGTTATATTATAATTGCAGGGTTTTAAATTTTCTTAACTTTTTTTTTTTTAATTAGAAGAATGTTTATCATCATCTATTTATTGCAAAGAATTTTATTAATAAAACAATTTCATTAATAAAAGCATTATAATAAAACTCAAAAGTATAATATGCTACCCCTAATTGAAACTTACCAAGCAAATCATTTAGTGTTTGCTTGGAAGGTTGCATCACAGATTCAAAAGTACTTTTATTTACAATGTTCACTACTTCTTTACATCAATAATACTAAATCATTACATTAGCTTTACCATAAATATTTCATTTGGTAATGAGTAGTCTTGGGAGAATATAGAAGCAATTAGTACAAAAAAACAAAAATGCTTATACTATTCCCAAACAACTATATACTATTACTACTATTACTAAAACAACTATTACTACTTCCCAACAATCTATATAATACATATCAGGCAAAATTACATGTTTGTACTAACTCTGTTATAATGCAGGAAAAATGTTATAATTAAAAAGAAAAAACTTTAACTGATAAAAAAAAAATTTGATCAAAACTTAAAAGTAAGAGTAATTGTTATATTTAGCTAACTTTTCATTGCAGTTTAAAAAATATAGTCTTCAAATAACTTTTATAAATCTAAGATAGCTAATTAAATGATGGCAAAATATCTATAAAATGATGGCAAAATATATATAGGAAAAAGACAAATATATAAGTCAATATATTTACCTTCACTCTTAACTCTTTCAAAGGTTCAGGCATAAGCAATGATCTGATTTGTGTCACAACTGGACCTTCTTGACCAGCAACAACAATAGTATCACCTTCTCTCAATCTTCCATTAACAAGAATAACATCAATTGTGGTACCTAAACCAGGGATTGCTTTCACCTGAAATTGTTGATATAAGAATATAATTTATTGAATTTATAAAACAGTAATCAAATATTTACAGAAAAAATATTAACTAAAATATGGATAAAGTAATAAATTGGAATAAATCTGCAAAACTGAATCAAATTATTCAAAATTCATAAGCAACTGCTAAGTATTTTGAATCTCAGCAAAAAAATATGAAATTTTTGAATAAAAATTTTTTGTATTGCTATTTTACAAAATTTTAAATATTTACTACAAAATATACATGTATCTTCAAATAGGTTTTTAACATTACCACAATTATCATTCTGAATTCCTTCAACATTGTCAAACTGACAAAAAAAAAAAAAAAAATAACAAATTTGTAAATATATACCATTTTGATGTTTACAAAATTCTGATGCTTTCAGAAAATTAGATTACAGAAGAAAAACAAACATATATTTCAGTTTCAAAATTTTTTCTTTTTAATAACAGAATGAAGTCAATAAACTAACCATTCTATCAATCATTCAGTGATGAAATAGAAATTAAAATAATACAGATGCAGAGGCATGCATATTTTTCTTTGAAATTGTAAACTAATAATAGAATAAATGCAGGAGTAAACCTTTAAACAAGAAGGTCATCCAAAAAGAATCTATTTTCTCCTTTTAATGGAAAACAAACAAAATGCAAAAGATAGAAACCAGATAGCATCATCCCTTAGGACAGTTTCTCAGTGTGAAAACAGGAAGCTTATTTATATCCACACTCTTTATAAATTATTTTTCAAACTCCTGGTGACCTTCTTAACAACTTTATGTAGTCATTTTAACGATAATACCTCATATCATTTTGGTCAATTAAGTTACAGATGTTTGCTTAGTTTACAGTCTTCCAACATAATTTCAAAGAAAGAAATCACACTTTAAATGTTATCACAGCAATTACTTAATAAATGTAAAATGAAATATGAAAATATGTCATTTTAAACGTTTTTTCTATGTTTTAAATCATTTATTACAATTAAAAATAAAAGTAATTTGATATAAATAATAATCCTCATTAAAAATTATTATTATTGGACTATTTTTATAGTTTGAATATAAACTCCAGATAACCCGGATAGTATTTGCTGATAATATCTTTCACAATAAACACGCATCATTTTTAATTCAGAAGTACACCTGATATTTTATGATAATTCAAGCTTGTTTTTCTTACTAATATTTATGTTAGAGATAAATGATAAATTCACAAAATGGCCTTGGTGTTTGTAGAAATTAATGCAGATTAATTTATCCAATAAAGTATACATGCTACATTTAAATTAGAATTTTTAAGAAAAATTATTCTAGGTTATTCATATGTTATCAATTGTCCTATCAGTTATTATACTTCTTATCATTTAAAAAATAAGAATGTCACAATTATTCATTTACACATTACGTAATTCATTTCATTATTAAGAAAAGTACTTTAAATATTTTTATATTAAAAATCACATGCAAAACAGATTATCATCATCAATAATTTTAAAACTTATAAATATGGTATATCATTAATTGTATTTTATTTAAGAAAAGGATAGGAAATATGAATCAGGCTCTTATAAAGGACGGGAGGAACCTATTCTTAATAAAATATTTATATATGCATTTTATTCTTTTTCCATTCAAAAATATGCCCTTGATGAATTATTAATTAAAATAAGTGCATGTGTATCACATTATCATCACTTGTACATTTTTCATTATTTTCTCAAAATAAATTAAATTAAATACATTTTTTAAAAACTATTAAAACTTTATTCTTATTTTTTCTATGTGGAGAATTTATCTTTTATTTCAGTTAACCTGAATATATAAAAATTATATTCAAATTTAAAAATATAAATTATGTAGAAACTTTATTTTATATTTCAAAGATCTTGTTTTTTTCTAAAAATTCTACATTTCATAATTAAATAATTCATCAAAGCTACAAAACAAATTTTTCTAATAAGTCCAATCAGAAAACTTATAAATTAAAAATAAAATCAAATAAAGACCTAAGCTGTTGCTGTAAATAGAATTTTCTATTTATAAAGGTTGTGGATTTAAGAAATACAATTTTATATATTTTTTAATTATATGTTTATTAAATTCTTATGTTTAATAATTTAATCATTGGAGTTTGAAGACCAATTCACAAAATTTTATTAGTATGAATAAGTATTTAATAAAAATTATTTTTGTCTTTAAGATAAAAAAAATACTTAAATTTAAATCTAAACTTCAATTTAATTTAAAATCAAGCCTAAATTAAAAAAAAATAAAATAAACACTAATTTTCTGAACAATTTAAAATTGAACTTAAAAACACTTTAAATATTTCAATCAAGTCAAATTATAAGTCACTTTGGATCAAGTCAAACTATAACTATAAATATTTAACCAACAAGTTTAATTCAGGAAAACAAATAAACAAAAATGTGTAAATATTTTTGATTGAATAGGTAAACTATTTCAGCTATAATATTTGAAAAAAAAAACAACAAATTTCAAGAGTGAAATTTAAATAAAACTCTACTATTCAAATTTTTAATATGGTATTAATGATGATTTATTTAATAAACTGTAAATGTTTCTTAGTTGTTTGTCATCTTATCAATAATTTCAAACAATTTTAAATTGATCTGAAGCTAAAATATAAATTATAAATTAAGTAAATAATATTAAATGCTTTAACCATTATAATCATATACAATAAAGCCCCCAATTATCCAAACCTTGATTAAATGAAGTTCCACATTATCTGAGACCAACCTATAAATGAATATATTATTTTTCTTATACTACAATTCATAAAAGAAAGTTTAAAACAATAACATGTATTAAAAAAGGATTTGATTCTGTTACCTCTTATCATTTAACTTCAATTTGAGACAAAACCATTTATATTAGAATGTAACTACAATAATAAACATTTAAAAAAAAATTATTGTTCTTATATATACTGTAATTAAATTCACTAAGGTATAAAAAGAAGCTTAAAAATGCTACTGTATAAATCTTTTACATTTGTAATTTATAATCCAAAATGGACACGGCTATCTGTTTTATCTAAAATTTTGGTTTTCTGAAATAGCATCAGTTCAATTACCTTGGATAGTCAGAATTCTACTGTATTAAAAATAAAAGTGTTTCTGAACACTACATTGTATAAATAAGCAAGCAACATTATAATCAGTCATTACATATATTTCTGTATGGAAATGAACTTTACAAAAGAGCAAAATTACTTTTTATTACATGATGGAATTTATTTCAAACTGTTACTGAATGTAATTTATGAAGTATTACCTAAATATAAGTTAACATACTACAGAAGCTACAAAATTAAACTTCTTTAGTCTTGCAACTTATACAATGATAATATGTACTTATCATCATTCTGGGATGTATTATAATTTACTATGGACATAACACTTGTAAAAAAAGGTTTCGTGGATTGTTATAATTGCAAAAAATATTAAGCAATATTTGGACATCAATGACTAATTGATTAGAACTGATATTTTATTATGTAAGTTTAACTTATGAAATCTTTGGATATGATATACATATCAAAAATATATTAAAATTTGAAACTGTTACTACAATATTTACTTAATTGCTTTACTCAATCTAAAAGTTGTTTCTCTGTAAGCAGCTTAAAACAGAAATTTACAATTATTTCAACAACTACATAATATGATTCTAAATTGAAAATCAAATGCACTATCTATTCCTGATATCCATGCACTTGATTATGATTTATTGATGAGCCTGTTTCATCTCTAAAATTGTGCTGCTGTCAATGACTGCACACCTTAGAGGTACGAAGGAGTAGCAATTTCAGGAGTTGTCAGCAATGTCAGGAGTTGCAATTTGGCACAGAGTATTTGGTGAACAAATCATGCACACACAAAATAAACCAGACTTGTAGGTAGTCAGGGGACTGAGAACCGGGTCAAAAGAAAATATGAAATGTTTCTACAAACAGGCACGAGTGAGAGGTTTGCACATGCGTTGTTTACGCTCTCCAAGACATAGTCTCACCCCCAAAATAGCTTTGCCATTTTACTTGTATTCAATTAATCCCAAGCAATCAAAAATTATAATTCATACATTTTTTTCAATGATTATGACAAAATTTTGATAATGTTAAGGAAGCAAACAGTGATTAATTTATTTATTGGCACTGAAAATAAATTTCTAAATAAGCATTCATCTATTTGTATATGATATGGCAGAGTAATGCATTGTATTTTTGAATTTTTATTAAGATATAATAATTAAAAAAAACTATTTTGATTTTTACTTTTAACATGACAAAAAAAATATTTTAAAGACAACAGCAAATAAGTATGTAATAAAAAAGAAAAAATTGATTAAGTGGATTTAAACATAAGTTATTGTATCATCATTTTCTAAATAGACAACTTTCTCAAACATTTAACATAATTAGAGTTTTGCTAATTTATTAAAGTTTAAATTTAGATTTAAATTTTAAAAATCTAATTTTGTTACTATATGACTCTTCATAATANTAGGAATGACGATAGGAAGATAAGTGAGCTTCCGGTATATATCTGTTCTGATTTCCCCTTCTTTGCAAGTTATAGATAAATCCAAAAAATTAACCTTGCTTCTACTTTCTTGCTCCAGCTCCAGAGTTAATCCATATGGACTGGCGTCGATCAGATCTATAAACTGGTTAACTCTGCGATTATCTTTCCACAAAATAAAGATATCATCCACATACCTTGTGTAAGACAATATGTCTTCCTGGAACAAGGGGAGTATATCTTTTTTGAGTTTACGTGACAGGACAGGATGTGACTCACTGTAAACTGGATATACTACAAATATGACACAGAAGATGTGATACATACAAAAGCTAAATATATTAACTTTAAATAATTCTAAAAATCAACAGGTCTCATTATATGAAAAGTTTTAATATCAAAATTGTATTCACTAAGTTTTTCTCCTGAGAGGTCAATA